ATAAGACGAGGACTCCAAGGAGAAAAAGCTGAAGATAAAGAAGAAGAAGAAGAAGAAGAAGAAGAAGAGGAGGAGGAGGAGGAGGAGGAGGAGGAAGAAGAAAAGGCGCCACAAAAGGTTTGTGGTCGCGGTCTCTCTCCCTCACTCTCTCTCTCTCTCTTTCTCTCTCCCTCCGAGAACCAAGATGATCAAAGAAGAAGAAGAAGAAGAAGAAGAAGAAGAAGAAGAAGAAAGAAGAAGAAAGAAGAAGAACAAGAAAGAACGTAGAAAAAAAAACCTACCTACGGTCGGTGCGCTCACCTCTGAGGTTGACAGCCATGGGGGCTCGGGGCTTTCTCGCAGGCGGGCATGGCGATGGCGCGTGGACTCGTCGGCGGTAGCGGGCTGGGCGTCGTCGATGGCGAGCAGCAGGACGTCGACATGCCGGGGGAATGCGGGCGACGTCAACGCTGCATGCTATCAAAAAGCGGGGCAGGTCGGGTTTGCGTAGAGGCGTGTTGGGGACGGGGGGAACTCGGATTGCCTTTGTTTTCGAGTTTTTGAACGCAGCCGATTACGGCCGCCGATCTGCCAGATCTACGGCCGAAATCGGCCGCGTTTGAAATTCAAAAATCGGGGATCGGCGGCGCGTTTCATCGAAAACGCGTGGTCCGAAGGCCCCGATTTTTTTTTTGGATCGGCCGCCGCATTTCATCGAAAACGCGGGGTCCGAAGGCCCCGATTTTTTTTTTGCATAGTAGTGGCGGCCTCTCAGAGGCCGGGCAGGCGGCGGGGAACCGGAAAACCCCCGGTACATGGCCCCCAGCAAAATGCGCTGGGGTCGACCGGGTGCCTGCCGGGCCAGTCGACCGCCCGGTCCAACCGGCAGGGACCCTGTCATCGGAGGGGCCCCCGGTCCGTCCGGGGACCAGCCCTGATATGCCTGGCAAATCATCAGTTGGTTGGGGGTGATAAGGGAAGGTTGGGGTTTCCCGCGAGCAGTTAGATTCGTCTTGTGTACGAGAGACGGCTGAAAAATTTTGGGAGTTTGAGGGGTTACATTATCCTGACTGTTTTGGCAATTTGCCATTGAGGGGGGGGGTGGCGGTGTGTGTGTTAGGGGATTTAGTATCGCATGGTCTGGTTTTGCAATCATACTCGACTTATTCACACTTCATCATGCTTGCAAACAGCGATACAGCGAACTGGCGACATGCGCCCACAC